ACTCTGGTCCAAAACATTATAAACCAATATGGCGAAACTTGTATTTCATAACTTTAAATGGGTATATCGTCGTTATTTTATGGTGGATGTCATTGAAGTTTTCAGGACGTACAAAAGAAAGGTAGATTATTCATTTTATTATAATAAAAGCTTATTGAATGATGCTAAAATTGTCATTTTAAACGCAGCAAACTGTATGTGCTGTTTTGGCACCGATGGATATATACGCATTTATATGTTGTTTTTCTGAGTGTAGTTTGAAACTATTGCAACTACTATTCCACTTAACTTGAAGAAAAATGCGTCATGTCTTGTTTACCATCTTAGTGAAGGAGCGAGACTAATTAAGCTCCAAAATAATAAAATATTGCACATTCAAACTGTGTAGCTCAGTCTGGAATGCATTGGTCTTGTAAACCAGGGGTTGTGGGCTGCATTCTTACTGTGGTAAAATTGATTTTTCAGCTTGCCTGGTATAAATTTACTCAGTGTAGCAACATATTAGTAATTTCTCCTGTGTATGATTACCATCAATATTAGATTTAACACCAGCCTTGTATCTTACAGTTCAGTTCTTATGTACTTGGTGTAAAAGATTTTAAGCAATATAACTTGTAGAAGTTATATTGATTAATTGTTTTGGCAACACAGCATATTGTCCAGTGCACAACTGCACATGGTTAAAGATGTGCTACCTTCAAATATGTTCTGTTCTTCTTTTTAGTGTTGGAAAGTTCACGATTGGCAAATTTCAAGCTGTAGTAAATGCACAACCTCAAAAACAATTAAGAAAGCAATTTGTTGGAACATGAAGAAAGCAGAAAGCAATTTGTTGGAACATGAAGAACCCAGAAATGAAGACCTTCAAATGTGTTTTCTGTTTGATCAAAGGCCTTATGAAACAAAACTGCTTCCTGTTATCATCTAGGTCATTACATTGGATGGCATTTGTGCATGTAGGACAGTTGCAGATCTTAATAGATTTATGGACCTAAACTCAAATTTATGGAACTAAATTATATGGATTTATGGAACTAAAATCAAATTAAATATGGATTGATAATATGGATAAAAAATATGGATTTATGGAACTAAAATCAAATCAAAGTGTTGTTTACATTTTTGGGGTTGTACAACTTGTACATAGTAGAATACACTAGATGTTAAAGTTTCATTTACTTGGTTCCCTTTGTAAAAAACAACATCCGATTTGTTGCAAGTTGAAACCAGTTTTATTGCCTGATATATTTTACTCTGCCAACAAGTCTTAATAACTAAGGGGCTATTTACATTAGCCTGACTAGTCCTGTTAACCGAGGCACCCAGCTTAATACAAATCATTTAACAAGAATCTGCCTAGCCGAGATCTCACTTGAGTCAAAGGGGATGCCCGGATAACCGGGCTGGAATTTTCCTATGTAAAGTCACCAGCTCATGTAACCTGGCTAGCCAGGCCTTCAGCCTGGTTAACCGGGCCAGCCTACATGGCTACCTGGGCTCATGTAAACAACCCCTAAGGTGATAGCAACAATAATATAGTTGGTGCTAAATGTAACATAAACTTGAGTAACAGAGAAAATTCTCATCTTCAGATTATTTTCCCCTCATTGTAGAGTAAACTGTTAATATGTATCTTAAAAACTAGAGTGTATATTAGAATCTCACAGATTTATAATTTAAACTGTCATTAAGATAAATCAGGTCTATTATTGTCTGTTTTGTAAATGAGGTTCCTTGATAATGTCAAAGGAGGCCTTGTCAGTCGTGACTTGACACACTTGTGATACCAAATTTGTAAAGTCACAGCTAAAGGATTTTAATAGGTTCAAGTCAATATATTATCCCTAAAATTTATTTTAGAAGAAGAAGTAGGTCTAGCAATTCCTTTCATATCGCAATATTATTTTATACGATTGCAGGCCAATATGCCAAGTTGAATTACACTGTATTGAATAGTTGATCACAGATTCACTGAAGGTCCGATGAACTGGATTTATTTCCTTCATTGTTATGGCATTCACGTTCTTAATCTTTTTGTACACCATGAAATATCACCAACTTATCACTCAAAACATATTTTACGGCGATCGGACTAACCACACATAAGCTATATAACTTTATATGTTTATCACTATTCGCCAAAGACCGAGGTGAAATTAATCGATGTATGACAATGGCCAAATTCCACGCTTAAATTCGTTTCTCATCGTCGTAGTAACAATTAAATCAAAGAACAACCTCTTCTTTATGATATTTCAAAGTATCATGAGTTTTGCTTGGATACATAAAAAGCTAGAGCACTTTTAGTGGCTCTATTTCGTATCCCGCCATATTAACTCCTATAAAATTTCCTCTGGTTTGGTTGCTTTCAACATGGCGGCCACACCGGAAGTCGGCTCACATTCTGGCACACTTTTTACCCTTGAGTGAACCTTCTGCCCTTATCTCTTCTGTGGTACCGCCGGGGCAGGCCGTTGATACGTGCATTAAAATATTTTAAAATTTCCCCCAAACCTTTTTAACTCTCAAATAGTTCATTACATATTTATTGGTTAGGGTTAGAGAAGGGGTTGGGCTCTGTTTATCCATACCTTATCTTATTCCGACTACAGTACAAATTTCAATATAGCAAATCAAACTCGGCGTACTGTTCCAGTACTTCGTATTAATATACAACTAAATGAACTAATTATTAAAAAGTAAACTGACCTTTAAACTGAAGAACTTGATTGGCTTGTATACATCGGTTCCTTTGTGATATAGTTCAATTGCTGTTGCTTTTAAATGTTTTATAAACCAGTAAAGCGAAGTAGCGAAATTTCGGGCCATCTTTCACAACAAATAACATCACAATAACTGCACATCTTTTTCTCCTTAATACAGAATCGTTTTCCCTGTCCATTGAGTTATAATTTTCAAGACTAACGAGTCGCTAAAACGTAAAATAAGCGGGTATTTATAACACGAGGTAACCAGAGTCCAGCGCCATCTTGTCTTCTCCAAACATTACAGATTTTCCCGCCAAAACCCGCCCCCAAAGTCCCGTATGCGACTCGAGAGGTGTAAATCCGGCAATGTGATTGGTCGGCGAAAAAATTCGCGGCGAAAAAGTAGGATCGCTTCCTACTTTTTATCTGTTCGCGCGAATAAATTCGCCTAGTGGAGAATAATGAATTTATTGTACAGGGGGGGGGATTGAGGAGAAACTGGGGGGACTTTACATTTTTTAAAACCTGAAAGGGGGGCTTTGAAAAAATACAGAGAGACGAAAGAAGGGGGGCTTTGAAAATATTTACCAGTTTGAATAAAACATTACTAGTTTTAAAAATAGGTATGCTAGGCGTACATGTATCTGCGCAAAGGAAATCCATAGTTGCTATGAAAAAATTTCATTCACAATTATTGAGTAAACATTTAAATTTCGAAGCGACTATATAGCTGGCAACCAGCTATTTAGTAAACTGCCGCCGGCTATATAGTGACTAAGAAAAAATGCTAAGTCAAACAAAACACAACCCGACCCAGACTGCGTTTCACTTTCCGCACACAGTGCCTATACCATACACTCTTAACGGCAAGCTCGGTGAAAGCTAGCTAGTGCAAACAAAAGTTTTTTATATTTAACTATAGTCACTATAATAAATACCCAGCTGCCAGCTAGTCACTTTGTTTATATTTGATGATATGACAAAGAATGTTCAGATTGCAGTCTCTTCTCTACTGCAATCAACTGTCAGTCAACTGCCAGTGGCAGACACTGGGGGGGGGGGGGCTGAGCCCCTCCTATAATTTTGATAAACTGTAAAAATCTTGTACCAAATAACACAAATCACACTTATATAATAGTACCATTAATTAAAACATTGTAATTTAATACCATTAATTAAAACAGTGTTTTGAAAACCTAGTTTTTTACAAAATGTGTTCTCAGAATGCTGCAAATGCCATTTTCGAAGTAACATCTTAAAGCCTTTTCGTGAGTAACCATGCAATGCATGGTTACTCACGAAAAGGCTTTAAGATGTTACTTCGGGCAATGATAAGCTTATTCATGTTCCGATACCATCATTTACAAAACTTGCCACATTCATTTACGGATTTTTTTATAGCAAATAGCCAAATTCACCAATAGTAATACAGTACCCAAAACTCGTCGAAACTTCATATGCATTGCCATTGAACTAATTATACTAAGCACTCACTCTCAGTGAAAGGAGTGGATGTTCAGAATAATCTTGATGTTAGCTTGACAAAAATAACATCACTACCAATCTTTAAATCTTTATATTTTAAACAAGGAAGTCTAATTCATATTCATGTAATTAACAGATTATGTCTTTATAGCTCTCCAAATTTTCTCCTTATGTACTTTATTCTTACTAGTGAAAGCAATATTAATGTATTAATCTTCATATTCTTGTAAAATATACTTTTACTGGCACTGATTGACAGTTGACACAATATAAAACTTTGCACTGGACATTAAACTAGGGCCTTACCTTAAAAGCCTATGAAGGTTTCTTTAGACTCCTAGCCCCATTTAAAGTTGTAGCTTTAATACTTTTATGTAAATAATTACCATAATGATTGGGCGAAATAAATAAATCTTCTAGGATAAAACAATCGTCACTCTGTAGAAAGCCGCCATCTTTGTTTTACGGCCTGTTCGCAGGCATACAGCCCTAATTAGTCGACCTGGATAAGGTAGCTCATTTCAACAAAAGCGACGCCATTTTTAATTTGTAGTGCATTATGGTCCGATCCATTCAAGGAGGAAGGCGTGATATGACAATATAACTTTTTTTAATTAAGTTTTATTTTATTAAGTGTAGCACAGACAAATGTTTATTAAAAACAGAAAATTAATTGTTGAGAGTAAGTTGTACTATGAATATTCATGACTTATTAATAAATTTGAAATTAAACTGCAACTAACATTGCAGTTGGATTCAACAAAAATTATATTTGGATTGTGAGTATTTGAGACATTTCGGAACAAAATGAAGCCATCCATGGGGGCCATCAACTCAACTTTACACGAAAGGCATCCTTTAACGGGATATCTTATTACATTGGTTATTTTCAAATTGGTTTGTTTTCTACTTGGAGTATCGGGGAATTTATTAGTGATAATACACAACGTTTTGCGCTACGAAAAAAATCCTGCGACCTATCTCTCTGTGAACCTTGCAATTTGTGATCTGCTCACCTGCCTCACAATTTATCCAACACGAGTTGCAAAAGCGATGGATATGCTAATAGGCTCAATAAACGAACAAAACGAAGCGTTCCTCTGCAAAGTGAACTACTTTAGTGGATGTTTCTCAATATCTCTCTCAGTTCTTGCTTTACTTGCTGTGAATTATGATCGATATTTGTTGATAAGAAGACCATTGAAGTACCCAATGCTTGTGACAAAATGCAAAGTATATGGAATTATTGCCGCCACTTGGCTGGCATCATTGATTTATTTACTATTGTCTGTGACATACGTTGAAACCTCAAGAAGACACAATAACACCAGTGGCTGTTCTCCTCGAAGGGAAGCTCTATCAATTCTTTTAATTTTGTACATTTATGTTCCCATTATTCTTATCCTTTTGTTTAATTTGAAAACATGGCGAATCGTGCAAGCACAAAGGCGCTCAATTGCTCGAAATTCGGTGAGGGATTCGAGCGCCCAAAATGTTCATATTACCACAAGAATCGCAAAGGAATTGAAAGCCGTGAAAACCTTGGCAATGATAATGGGAGTGTTAGTCTTTTGTTTCACTCCTTTTGCAACAATGGTCATTTTTGGTATACTACACTTCGACCCAGGTCTTCCGCCTTCATTATACGATTTATTCGCAGATTTAGTTGGGGTAAATTCTGTTTGTAATCCGTTAATATACAGTATACGGCACAAGGAATATAGACAAGCCATTCGTAAGTGCTTTTCTGCAGTATGTGGCTAAGGCTCGTGTTAAATTTTAGGCAGTTTTAATTATTGCTTGCAGTTGTACCGTCGGTTAAGTTATTGATAATATGAATTGTAACGTGAGCGTGTGTGAATAAATACTGATTAACATAATTTGCTTCTAGATTCATTAGAGCGGATTTCTAATTATTTTTATATTAAGAAACCTTTGAAACCTGGGTAGCTTTATCAGTTCCAAACTGTTCTCCCTATAGGTCCAGGGGAGACCAAATTATCTGGAGGAAACGTGTGGTGTGTAGTAGAGTCAAACTGGAAGCACTCTTCTCACATGTGACTGAGGTGGAATTATAATCAAACAACTGCATATTATAGGAATCAAACCTCAGTCTAGCCCGCTTGCAGGCCCACCGCAAAAAACGCTGTTTTCTTCAGTGCAAGAACAGAGTCAACATCAACCAAAAGATAATTTTCTTGAGGAACATATAACGTATCAAGTCCGTTTGAAATGCATGAAACTCAAGTCAAGGTTACTATAGTTTACCCCAGTGGTACAGTGTTGCTATTCCAACACTTCACGACAAGCAATCCCCGTTGGCATAACGGCAAAAACATCTCTTTCGAGAGCCTGTGTGATGAATCACTGATCTAATTATAGAATCCAACAGCAAACAGCCAATCAGAATGCTACGTTCGTGTACGAACACGACAAATACAAAATACCCAGTCCTGCCTGCACGCGGGCCAACTTTAGTCAGAGCAGAGGTCGTGGATCTCTAATCTCTAAATAACTCCTGTGGCGCAAGTCCAATTCTTATCTTGAAACTTGAGCCGAGGTTACCGTGCGTGATATTATGAATAGACGCATGTAGCCAAAACAGTCAAACCATTTTTGCGTTTTAAAAACTGAAAATGAAAGAAATGATGAAAGCTTTGATTATTCTGTCAGCTGTGATTAACCTGGCACTATGTTTTTGTGGTAAGTTACTAAGTTTTAGTAAATTTAGAGCAGGTTTTTGCTGCATGCTAAATTTTGCAATTTATCAAAATGTTGGAAATGTAATACAATAGTATCACATTATCATTTATAATGTAGCTCACAAATGAACGTAGCTCACGGCCGGATCATTCCTAGGCTATAGATACTTCTATATTGATGTCTTTGAACTGAAATATGATTTCTTATATATAGACAAAGGATTTTGGTAGCATTAGTTTTGCCCGTCTGCGAAATACTAGAACATTAATAATGTGTTATTCATTAATTGCCAGCTTGAAAGTTTAAGGTCATGGTCATAGGCGTACGGGAGGGGAAAAGTAGGGGGGGGGGGAAAGAAATTTACCTGACTTTTTCCCATTGTGTGTGTAAACTTTCCAAAATCGTCTATTGCATTCTCGACTATTATATTGCCATATTTCTTCTTTTTAAATTTATTTCCCCATCTTTTTGACCAACTTAAGGCCATATAAAAAAAAATAGTTGGTTAGCGTCCTTAGCTTTTGCCAAAAAGTGGGCGGGCGGGCGCTTTTTTTTAAATTTTTACTAATTTTTAACGCCTTGGTTTTACTCACTGTTAGGTCCGAAACTGGATTTTCTTGCGCAGTACAGATATTTTTTTATATATTTCAAAATATAATTCATACCGTCACAATTGACTACAGTCAACAGAAATACTACATATATTAGAGCCCGTTGATCAATAAAAGTCGTGTTTTTTTAAATAAAAAATTAAAAAAAATCCTGAGCGGGGCCTTTTTTGTGGGCGGGCGGGACGCTAACCAACTATTTTTTTTATGTGGCCTAAGGTCCGGACGCGATTTTTAGTTTTTGAAAGTTAATAAAACAGCCAATGAGAGCAAATTTGAAAAGATATGTAGATCAAATAACTCAAAATGTTACAGCGCTTCAAAATATTTGGAAAATTTAAACTAGGATCAAACTTATCGGTCAGTGAAAATAAAAAAATCGCGTCGCGTTGTCGAATCGCGTCCGGTGTGTCTGGACCTTTACGTTTATAATTTGCCCAACTTCATTTTGACTCCCCCCCCGGTACGCCTATGGTCACGGTCAACATATCATATCAATATCACTACAACATTGATAATCAATCAACTGTATCGATCATCATCATCACCACTTTTGATTATCATATGAACACGGCCGTAAAATCTCACGTAAAATGATCAACCTTCCCGAAAACGTTTCCATCCAATTCTCCAATTCTTTTTTAACCAGAGATTTCAACTTGTTTTTCCAAAAGGTAACCAAACGTTACACGGTAACCTAGCCGAATCAGCTGTGCAAGTTTCTAATTGGTTGAGAGAGCATCACGGTCATGACGTCACACGTCTGGAACCTCACATGACTAGCGCGATGATAGTCGCCTCGCGATTGGCTGGCCACTTGCCACACACCATTGTGTCTGATTACAAAACTAACGACTCATACACGATCGTAGATTACCTTAAATCTCATTTAGATAAGCACAAAATGCAAGACAAAACCTTATCAAATTTAAGACCTGGACATATTGCGAATATATTTCAAGCGGTTTCAGCACTATGCTATGACCCGCAAAATTTTTATGGACATAACTTGACCAAGGCCCTTTTTGAAGGTTTTGAGTCCCATTCAACTTTTAAGAACTACTTTGAATATAGTTCAGTAGCCTTAGCTGTTTGTCAAAGTTTGGGTGCAAAGATTCAACCCAATTTGGCTGGAAGTATGTTGCTCGAGTTGAACAAAACTTGCATTACACAAAATTGTAAAAAAAGGCCAGATACTGTAGCAATGACACTCATGGCTCTGTCTTGCTTGAGGCGGAATATAGCGGAGAACAAATTGTTACAAGATGTCGATGAGACAATCAAAAGATATTTGAAAAATGTTGTCGATGCGTTACGAATGGGCAAAGATGAGTTATGGAATGCCCAGTCAAAAGGTTTACTCGTACAGGTAGGAAATGTTGTGGTGGTAGATATAATGCATGATCGCTGTTTGTTGTTGTTGTTGGTGTTTTTGTTTTTCTCTTGTTGTTGTTGTTGTTGTTGTTGTTGTTGTTGTTGTTGTTGTTGTTGCTGCTGCTGCTGTAGTTGAGGTTATTGTTGCTGCTCTTGTTGTTGTTGTTGCTGTTATTGTTGTTGCTGCCGCTGTTGTTGCTGCTGTTAGTTGAGGTTGTTGTTGTTGTTGTTGTTGTTGTTGTTGCTGCTGCTCTTGTTGTTGTTGCTGCTGCTGTTGTTGTTGCTGTTGTTGTTGTTGTTATTTTTGTTGCTGCCGCTGTTGTTGTCATTGTTGCTGCCGCTGTTGTTGTTGTTGCTGTTGTTGTTATTTTTGTTGCTGCCGCTGTTGTTGTCATTGTTGCTGCCGCTGTTGTTGTTGTTGTTGCTGCTGCTGCTGTTGTTATTTTTGTTGCTGCCGCTGTTGTTGCTGCTGCTGTAGTTGAGGTTGTTGTTGTTGCTGCTGCTGTTGTTGCTGCTGCTGCTGTTGTTGTTGTTGCTGCTGTTGTTGTTGTTGCTGTTTTTATTGTTGCCGCTGTTGTTGTTGCTGCTGTTGCGGCTGTTGTTGCTGCTGCTGTTGTTATTTGTGTTGTCGTTGTTACTTGTTATTGTTTTTTGCTGTTGACGTTGTTTTTGTGTTTCGTACCATTTAGGCGATCATGTCCCAACCAAAAGAACTGAGGCCAAGACACTGGCATTGCCATCGACTGTTGTCCGCTCTATTGGACAAACACGATCCGTTAAAAGCATTTGGAAATGTACTGGCTAACATTCAAATATTACCAGCATTGCTGGGACGATCATTGGTTCATCTTAAAATGTCATGTCCTACACCAAGTAAGTCGAACTGCAATTTTAAAACAATGTATAGCTGGGTTTCACTATCAGGGTTCGTAGTCTCCAAGACCAAAAAATTTCAAAGACTTTCAAAGATTTTTTCTGCCTATGGACGACTTACGCTTTAGACTAAATTTTAATCTAAGTAAGAACAACGAAATCTTTCACCACAGCTAGAAAGAGCGTCTTGGAATTAGTAATATTACAAAGTTTGGTTGCGAAATGTTGTAAAATACGGAAAATATAGCCCTTCAAAGTTGGCAAATTTGTATACTTTTGTATTACGTGCGTGAATTGGTAACTAAATTAGTTACCAATTTCCGCACGTAATAGAAATGTATACAAATTTGCCAACTTCGCAGGGCTATATTTTCCGTATTTTACAACATTTCGCAACCAAACTTTGCAGTTTTTCTAATTTTGATAACTTCTTTCCAAAAAATCCTTTGTTATTCCCAGATTAAAAATTTTTCTAAAGCGCAAGTCGTCCATTGTCAAAGACTTTTCAAAGACCTTTGAGAGCAATCAGGTGTCGAAAAATTGCGATGTATAAGCACCATTTTTACCATGTAATTAGTCCCGTCAAATCACATCCTAAAATGCACTTTTTTTGTCGATATTTGCGAAAATTTTGCTTCAATCAATCTATTTTATTAGCTAGGAAATCGTATAATCAAATAATCACTAAAGAATTTAAAGACTTTGAAACACTTTCTTCGCTTTTTCACACACTTCAAAGACTTTTCAAAGACCGTAAAGACCTGCATTCAAATTTAAAGACTTTCAAGGATTTCAAAGACCGCTACGAACCCTGACTATCGCGCAGCAGATGGTGATCAACCTGCAGTTATCAGAGTGAGAAAATAATGTTAATTCTTTTTCTGAAAATTTAGATTCTCAAGAAGTTAAAAGAAATAAGGTTTGTGGAAAGATACATGCTTAAATTTTCAAATTATATATGTGATTGAATTGGGTTGCAATAGCAGGGTGTTAGACAGAAAAAAAGTTTTGTCCGTTAAACGTAAATTGGGAAAGTTTTTTTGACCGATCAAAGTCCTTGTGTAGGAATAAGTAGGGTTTGTTCCCAACGTGTTTCTCCATAGATGCAAACAACGGTAGGTTGGTTTTGTACATTTCATTTCCGGTGAATGAACACTGAAAAACACAGATGCACACCGATTACACTTTGTTTTGTATATTTAATTTCAGTGAATACACACTCAATATGAATGAAACGCGATACATTTTGAGAAAATAGTTATTAATGGGAAAAAAGTAAATAAAACCGTTCTTTGATATAATAATATAAAATCAAACGCAATGCACTTTCTCATCAGAAAAAATGAAAATCTTCCAGTAGACCCAGTTGGGAAAGCCCCTTAGCTACTTTAATTGGGAAACGAACAGTATATGGGCTAGCTAACACCATGAATAGCCACAATTGTAAGCTAGGTGTATCAAGTATTTCATTACTTTTCAGACAGTATGTGTGAAGCTAGAAATTCAAGACCCTACGAAGAATCAAAATACACCACAAAAAGTTGTTCTAGTGGTTCCAGAGAAGACAACAGCTTATGAAATTCTGAAACGAGCAGCCGAGGTCAACAAAGAGTATACATTTGAAGCTTTGCAGACATCGTATGGTCGAATGATTACATCCATATCAGGCGTTGTACAAGAGCCGTTCACTGGACATTACTGGTCATTGTATGAAAGTGAGAACGTGACTGCACGCGATGGAGTGGATATATTTATACCGAAGAACGATACTTGTATTATATTCAAATATGAACAGTGTGTTTCGGTTGAGGATAAACAGATGGGATTTTGAGGATACCAATACTAGGTGATGAGGTAATATATTTTGATTGAAGATAGGATGACAAGTTAACAATTTAAGATTTGAGATAAGGAACGAGTTTTAAATACAAACAAAGTGATTTTCATTAAATGAACGAGACTGAAGATTAGGACAAGAAGTGTAGTTTGATTGAAGAAGATTTGTGATCATATCAGCTTTCTATCTAGGTTTTATATATATGAACAGCGATTGAGACAGGTAGATTAGCTATGTGAAATTAATTCTGGTAAATAAACGGTGTTATCAAAATTTTGTGACCAATTCATGTTTGGAAATTCAAATGAAGTTGTCCTTCGATATAGCATGTTAAATAAAAAAGTTAAAATTGAATAAACCGTTTGTTCGTAAAGACTGTTTATATTTTATATACAATCCGGGTTTTCCCCCTCTCTGTCTGTACGTTTGGCGTACCCATTTTTATTATTAGAATTGTTTTTGAATTTACCTTGCCAATTGAGTGTATGTATGTACAGAATAAATACCCAATCCTCAGAGATTCAGTCGAAGGCGATCTTCCGTCTGCGATATGACTAACAATAAAAAAACGTGATGCGTCTATTTTGATGTCTTCGTGACGTCCCGACGCCAGTGTTGGAGAAACAAGGTTCAGACTCTACTTCCACTACCGCTACCATTAAGGGTCTATTAACCAATCAGATACGTTTGATATATTCGATTAACCAATCAGATACGTTTGATATATTCGATTAACCAATCAGATACGTTTGATATATTCAATTAACCAATCAGATACGTTTGATATATTCGATTAACCAATCAGATGCGTTGACATATCCGATTAACCAATCAGATGCGTACTAAGCCAGTGAGAGGTAGTGGTAGAGCGTAGCGGTAATGAAGTCAAATCTGAACCTCTCTAATAATTTCATAAGAGCCTTTGTATTTAGAGCATGTTTTCATTCTGTATAAATCTGCATGAATCCATTTCATGTTCACACCCAATGGCGGACACTGGGGGCAACCACGCACCCCCTCCCCCCAATATTTTCGTGATTAACTGTGTAACGCAGCTGTGACAATTATCTTTCGACCATGAAAGCATTGGTAGGCTATGGATTAAGCTATACATTGCATGGCATTTACGGCAAAAAAACTCGTAAAAAATTGAGATTTCCAGAAACGGTGGTCATATATGGTGGCAACCTAAATCCCCCCCCACAATAGTTCGCGAAATGTCTGACCCTGTTCACACCATACCTTTTGACCCATGTCTCGTTCAGTAATCCTCTCCGCCTCGTGTCGAACCATTTGTTGATAAGCGTCTTCTTCACGTCTGAAGGAGTAATTAAAAAGACGTTACGACTGACAGCTTTCATTATATATTGTTCAATAAATTCCAAAGATTCAACATCTGTGAAGTTGGCAAATCGTGAATATACTACAATACCTTTGACTGTCTAGTTTCTCTTGTTCTCTATACTTGGTTTGCATGTCTCGCTGCCGTCTCTCTGTGATCTAAATGAGCAACAAGAAAATTACTCGATATAGTTACATACTGGAGAGTTTCAATCAGAGGAAGAATATGGGTGGTCAACAGGGCGCTTATATATATAAGCGCCCTGGTGGTCAACTTACAGGGTGCGACAATTCGCGTATTTACGTACCGGAGGTACACCAATATTACGATCTGGTACTTCTTTGTTTTCAGCCACGTACCACGTAGGTACACGGAACTACTGCTATATCATATATGCGTACTTACACATGCTTTCCTATAGCCCAAGGTATTCAATACCGTAATTTAATTTAGTTGGTATATCATGTGCCCGAGATGTCGTGGATAGCATGAAACACGATTGGACTGATGGGAATATAAGAAACGTTGGAGTCGATTGTCTGTATATGCAATTGCATGTGCTTCTTGTTCTAACTCGTAGTCTGCACATACTTTTCAGAAACCTGTACTTTATTTTAATGACCAAGTATACATCGAGTAGTGAGTTTGTACTAGTGCAAGCAGGGACGAAATTTGAGGGGGGGGGGGGAGGTGACACCCCCCCCAAGTACAAATCATCTGGATTGGCAGGGCAATGAAAGATTTTAAATGATAAAATGTAAAGTTATTAAGTAGCTTCCAGAGGAAATTGAATATAATTTATAGACCTAAATTTTACAAATATTGGTAAAAAAAATAAGGGTTTCATTCATGCATGTTTTAACAGGAATTTGTCCAAAAAAAAATTTTGACCCTTAATTTAATTGGTTTATGTCCGGAAAAATGGTGGCCCAAAATTTTTTTTTCCCCCCCCCCCCCCCCCCCCCTCGGCTTTCGCAGGGCAATTCTAGCAGACACCCCCCCTCAATTAAAAGGGGCTAGTTTCGCCCCTGAGCGCAAGTACGCGGCAACAATCATTGGCGTACCAGTCGGGTACCACTAAAAATTTTGAATTATCGCACCCTGAACTTCAGAAATGTTGACACTTGGAGCAAGAAAATTAAACTACATCTCTCAAATCTATTTATTTTCCAAGACCAATACAAGACTACTACATAGAATGAAAAAAAATAAACTCCCCTGCAGAGGGCAGTGGAATCAGTATGTTGAAGCATTACAGGACAGCAGAAAATGGTCAACCTTATAAATGTTTTTTTTTCTGTGTTGGTGTAATGTACTCAGGTGAATTTGATGCTTGTGATGTTAATCTGAGTGTGTATCCACACCGGGCAAGCTTGAAAAATATGCCTGACCACGGTGAGAATCGAACCAACGACCTTTGGAATACTAGCCCAATGCTCTGCCAACTGAGCTACGCGGTCAGGTCGGTTCGAGTATGAGATATTTCGGAACTGAGTCTAGTTCCTTCGATATCAATGCAATCTAGTAATATGATTTTTTCGGTTGGCTAGTATTGGGCTAGTATTCCTAAGGTCGTAGGTTCGATTCCCACCGTGGCCAGGCATATTTTTCAAGCTTGCCCGGTGTAGATATACACTCAGAGTAACATCACAAGCATCTTATAAATGTTATAAACTACATCATCATCTGCTGCACGATAGTGCTTAGTGAAACCACAGTTAATAGGCATGTGTAGCGGTTTGTTTCCCACCAATTTTCACCCGCCCGAAATTTTCGCCTCCCTAATTTTTGAAAGGCCTGCGGAGGAGGTAGGTGGGTTTCAGTAAGTGTTAGCAGGTAGTGATGAACTTCAGTAACATGTAGGAAATATAAGACTACTACATATTGAAACCCAGCGGACGTTTATCACTATCAGAGTGACAAAGTGATGTCAATGCCTTCCATAATATGTAGTAGTCTTATATTTCCTACATGCTACTGAAGTTCATCACTACCTGCTAACATTTACTGAAACCCACCTACCTCCTCCGCAGGCCTTTCAAAAATTAGGGAGGCGAAAATTTCGGGCGGGTGAAAATTAGTGGGAAAAACAAACGGCAACACATGCCTTCGTCTCAAATTTCAAATTTTAACCTGCGAACGGGCATACTCATTACGGGCTGTATGGCTTGCGGAGGAAGTATGAAACCCACCAAGACTATTCTCATACTTCAAAAACAGACAGTTTATACTGACCTGTGTCTGTAGTTCTCTTTCTCTCATTTTTCGTTTCTCTTCCTCCACTTTCTTCTCCCGTTCAGTCATCCTGTTCACTGCTTCCATTTCATCCAGCAACTCCTCCTGAGTCTCGAGGGATTCTTTATGTCGCTGATGTATTTCCGCCATTTTCTGCTCGATCTGTTTCTTACGTTCATCAAGAACCTACACAGAAAAAGAAAATTTTCATCAAAGTAAATAACAGTGGTTTAAAGAAAAATAAAGTCTGGTTTATATTATCGAAGTTTCTGTGATCACAGTAGGAATTTTGCATAGGTTTTATTTTTTCTAAGTTTTAAAGGATATGTACAGGGGTGGAAAAAAAATTTTTCCTTCTGGGAACCTGGGTCAAAGGCTAGAAATTTTCTGTAAAATTTGTAATGTTACAATTACAAAAATAACAAAACAAACGCATAATTATTGTATTATTTGTACTTTAGTAATAATGGGCTTTAGGCTGGTTTTCGTACGCTTGTACATCACAATAGTTGTCTGTTATATACCACAGTTATAAGTTATGACCAACTAGTAAGGATCTTGATTTTTTCTGTGTTGGTGTTATGTAATAAGGTGAATATGATGTTTGTGATGTTACTCTGAGTGTATATCCACACTGGGCAAACTTGAAAAATATGCCTAACCACGATGAGAATCGAACCTACGACATTTGGAATACTAGATTACATTGATGTCGAAAGAACTAAACTCAGTTCCGAAATATCAGACACTCGAACCGACCTGACCGTGTAGCTCAGCTGGCAGAGCATTGGGCTAATATTCCAAAGGTCGTAGGTTCGATTCCCACCGTGGCCAGGCATATTTTTCAAGCTTGCCCGGTGTGGATACACACTCAGAATAACATCACAAACATCATAGTAAGGATCTAACGCTTAACTAAGTGTCCTATCATCTTATTTATTCCATCACTTTTATTTGTTTACTATTTAATTTGCATTTTATTGGAGACTTTGCAGAGCATATATTTACCATTTTACCAGTCATTGTGATGACAGGGGTGGGTAAAAGAATTAATTTCTGTCAAATATTTAAAAGGCTGCTGATGTTAGTGTGTACAGTGTAAATAAAGTAGAATAGTTGTAACTTGTAAGTTGAGTAAACAGGGTTATCTCAAAATGTTGAAATATTTTCTGGAAAATTTTCTGCAAAACTCTCAACTCAAAACATTTCTGGGAACTAGGTTCCCAGGTTCCGATACTTTTTCCACCCCTGGATATGTATAGGAAATGTTTGAGGTAACAGACTCGGTGTAAAACACATGTGCTTCCCTAATATAATGACATACTTCAGACATCAATCTTTCTCTCGCCAGTCTCTCTCTCTCCCATTCCGCGTCACGTTTCTGCCACATCCGGGCAGCTTCATCCCTGCACGAAATGAAAACAAGTTAGTCACGTGATCGCTATTATATTTAGTAGTATAAAAGCACATGTAATTTTCCCGATCAACAAGACCAGGGCTCGAAACGTCGAAGTTCTCCTTGTATTTTTCAGGTAGTTGTATCCCATTCAATCCACAGCTATCATCAGCGGGGAAACGGAGGAAGAGGGGACCCTTAGGTATATTTGGTGTGGGGGCCCTTGTTGACTGTTGCATTGTTTGACTGAGATATTATATTTATATTGAATATTTATTGAATGTTCTGGAAAATTCCATGTCTATAACATAGATATCTTATATACACTAGATAGTGTATCTAATTGTTCTGCATTTCAAAAATTGAAGCCGTGATTGCAGACTCAGGATATTCCCATGAAATGAGAAGACTCGTACGTTTTCTATTTCTTAAACAGGGAACTTAAACATTAAGTTAAACCTATTCCAAATACATTTTCAAACTATTCAAATGATGAAAGTTATTGTTGTTTTTAAGCGTTTATTAGCGAGTGGAAAACTTCAACATGGCTGCCATCTATTCAAATGGGGGTAACCGCTGGAATATTCTTGGCTTCAATTTTACTAAAAGAGATGCGCTATCTAGTTTATATAAGATGTCTATGGTCTATAACAGTACTGAACAATAACAGTCTCCAACACATGCAACAACTAATAAGAATAACTTTTGTTTTATTTGAGATGGAATAAAAAAATCAGCTACCGTTGTCGATGGAGGTTGATTCTTTAGCATTATTAATTTTGCATTTTCCCATTGTTTCTTAACCTGCATTTTTTCGTTTTCTAATATTCTGGGCGATAGGCCGTGGCTGATGGGGACCCTAACTGTCGTCGGCCCTTGAACTAACCCTACCCAATGAGCGTTACGCAACTGGCTGTCGTGTTATCGTCTCTCCTACACTGGCACAGACTGTCAGATTCACTTATGTTCCTGAGTATTTAAAATGTGATGTAATATATAAACAACGAGAGTGAGTGTTTCACCGGGATATCCAAACACGAGAAAACAATGTATGAAAACACGAGCGCGAAGCGCGAGTGTTTTCATACATTGTTTTCGAGTGTTTGGATATCCCGGTGAGACACGAGCTCGAGTTGTTTATACGACTTCTCAAATGAATCGAGACGTAACTGAATGTTTTCGTTTGCTGATTTGAATAGAATTCTTAACCAAGCATAACGTAATTAGGAATTCTATTCAAGTAATTTTGCATGCGTAATTAAGATATTTGATGAAAACACAAGTGACTTTCATCAAGTTTCACCGGGTTATCCAAATGGCATCTTGTGATCAAATAGGTGATTATCATTGGCTGAATTGCTCATGAATTATTAATGAATTTGAGAAATAGTATTTCAAACACTCATTAATAATTCATAAGCTTATTGGCAAATCATGTCAACCATAAAAATCAAAACCATAATATGTCACGTGCAGTGGCTTTAAACCTGATAAAGCACTCCTAATTAGTATTCTTTATATAAAGAATACTAATAAGGCAGGTATCTATTGTAGTCGTGTCCTCATTAGTATTCTTTATATAAAGAATACTAATAAGGCAGTATATCTATTGAATTTGTAGTCGTGTTTGAAGCCGTTTAATAGACTCGCAGGTCGTGCTTTATTAGGTCTAAAGCCACTCGCACTGCGCGCTCGTGGCTTTAAACCTAATAAAACACTCCTGCTCGTTTATTAAACAGTACTTTAGACGCAGCTATTCTCATTTCTTGCCGGAGGGTCCTATAATTTCAGCATAGCTGATTATTGACTAGTCTCCTATTAACCGTGCCTACGCATACCTACTTAGCGGCCTGTGCGTGAGGCGTAAGGTATGCTTACTTTGGCCAAGAATTCCTTTCCTCAAAATTAGCCAATCACAGCTTTACCCACGAAAATTGTGGGGCTTGACCTTTGACCTTGAGGCTTGGGACGTCAAAAGTTTCAAAACATTTAATCTTGAACATTTCATATCTTCATCTTAAACCGATTATCTGCGAGTGCTCAGAGATTTATTTGTTATACATATACCAGTCTAGAAATTTACAATATGGAACAATTGTAAAATGACTAAAATCTATCCGATACAGAGCGGCTGCTCAAGTTTTATCGTACTTAAAAAATGACCCATCTTTTGAGTTCATTGGCGAAGTAATTTTAAAAACTAGTAATAATCTTAGATTAGTGAAGTGCGTTCGGTCACAGAGGTTCGTTGTAGAGTAGACGT